TCATGTAAGAGGTAATGATGTAGTATAATATCTAATATCACAATGATGGCTACCTTGAAGAAACCATAGAGATCATACCAGGGGTCTCAGTTAGGATAGTATCCACTGTCATAATGATGACTATCTTGAAGAAACCATAGTGGTCATGTAAGAGGTAATGATGTAGTATAATATCTAATATCACAATGATGGCTACCTTGAAGAAACCATAGAGATCATACCAGGGGTCTCATTTAGGATAGCATCCACTGTCATAATGATGACTATCTTGAAGAAACCATAGAGGTCATACAAGGGGGTCTCATTTAGGATAGTATCCACTGTCATAATGATGACTATCTTGGAGAAACCATAGAGGTCATGTAAGAGGTCCTGATGTAGGACTATATCTAGTTTTATAATGGTGACTACTTTGAAGAAACCATAGAGATCATGGATTGTCTAATAAGAATGCTTGATCTAAATCCATTGGTACTTTTCTTTGGACTCTGTGAACATCAACCCATGAGTGTTCTAGATCTTGACATGATATTGACTTATCTACAGATATTATAGACAAGAAGCTCTGTAGCTGTTAGGTACTTTAACTCATTAATGAGATGTACTTATAAAATTAAGTAATGTTTATATAGATGTAAATATTTTTGGTAACCTGTGGAAACATTTTTCAGAACTTTATTTATCTATATTCATGTAATATTAAATTTTCTTCATATTTAAATGTTATAATTTTACAAGTTCTTAAACACTGCATAACTGAATATAAACTAGAACAGAACATTTACTTCTTAATGTATATAATTAGTGAAACTGTTAAAAAATGTTACATTTAATATTAGTGTCATTGTTTCGATGTACTGTGAAAATTAAAATTATTAATCTGTAGAAAAGTTGGATTTTAATTTGCAATTTAGTTCTATTGTGAAGACACCCCAAAGTAGTGAATGATTAATTAATTGTACTTTGTTTATGTAATAATGATTTGAATTTAATAAAATTATAACAATTTGGTTTTTAGGGTGAAAGAGAGTTTAAAGCTCCAGGAGAATGTTGTAGCAAATGTATCCAAGGTGAGTTCAGTTTTAATCTGGTTCAGTGGTATTAGTTGTTGTATGAGAGCATAATATACCTTGTTATACAATTATATTTGAAGTACGTAATACATAAGTTTCTTTTATGAAGAGGGAAATATATAGAACTTATAACATTCTCAGGAGAAGTAATATATTTATTTATATAATTTTAGTCGTCTACTGTGAGTTTAGTATGTTCTATATATCACATACAACCACATGGTGATGATGAATAGACAAGTATAGGCTCACTTGAGAATGTAGTAATGGTATTTACATCATTAAATAAACAGTAAAAGAAGACATTTGTTCTTGTATTTTTTTTTTACCCTGTACTTCAAACCTTTTGTTTCTACAATGGTTGTGATTATTCGTTGTTGTGTATGTATCTAAAACTTTCTCTTATTTTTGCTTATATTAAACCACAATGAATATTATTATTATTACATGAAATATATTTTGAATAATTAATACAGAGAGAGAATATTTATCTACTGAACCTATAAAAATTTTTTGTTGTTGCTGCTTTAGACCCAGCAGTCTGTACTTTGCAATCAAACAATAAGTTAGTTACTTTTGATGGAATGGAATTCCAGTTCACTGGCACATGTCGTTACACTTTATCTGAGGACTGTTCAGAAGGAGAATTTACACTTCAGCTAGAAGACTCTACTTCCAGAAGCTTAGGAAAAGTCCTCTATATATATACTCACTGTGTGAAGGTGGAGATCTTTTCTGGAGGTTCTGTGAAAGTTGATGGCCAACTTGTGTCTCTACCATACCGAAACAACAGAGTTGTACACGTGGATCCACTTCCAGGAGAGAAATCAGCAGTCCAAGTTAGCACTCAGTCAGGTGTGATTGTTGTTTGGTATCCTTCTGGGAAGACTGAAGTTCTTGTTCCACGTGATTTCCAGAAGAAACTCTGTGGTATTTGTGGAAACTTCAATGGCATTTTGGATGATGATTTCACCACTAAGCAACATCTTCCTGCAAGGACTGTGTTGGTAAGTATTGTAATAGCTGGGGATAAAATACTGGACTATATTTATATACATTTTCTTTTTAATTTAGACATATATTTAATATTTTATTCATATTACATGCAAATTGATAATAATACCAATTCTCTTTTAAGCAAATATTGGTTATTCCAATTCGTTGAATTAAATGGTTGAGTTGGTTTGTATTAGGATGTCAAGAAATTAATGTCGCATTTGGAACACTTTCATTAACCACCCCTCAAAAAACGTACATCACTTATAATAGTTAAATGAACCACCTAAATGTCATGTTAATATAATGTGTAAAGTTTAGTATACTCTAATCCCTTATAGTGGTGGCACACGATGAGACACATATTTGGCATTTAATGCTGTTTGAATAAAGAAGGGAAAAAATGCCTCTGTAGCCACAATGAATATCAAAGAAGTTTATGGAAATATTTTTAACATTTGTAAGTATCAATGATGGTTCAGCAAATTTTGTTCAGGTGACTTTAGCCTTAAAAACTGTGATGGCAGGGGCCAAGACGTTTGAATTGATATTGATGCTCTGAAGATGCTTGTTGAGTCTA